CAATCGGGTTTGAAGGCAAGCTAGAGAGGAATGCGGCTGGTTCATCTGATTTGCTTTTATCAATGCAAAACCTATAAAGGCAGCTATCACAGGCTTATTTCAGCCAGATTATGTGGGCAAGTGCATTTCTTGCTGTCCTGGTCCAACTATCCAGACCAGAGGGCTTGTGGAAGCTCCCCCACATGCTGCTAGACAGAAACCTGGGTGTGGAACGTGCCCGCATCCCCCCGTTCAGACACAGCCATCGAGCGTTCTGCTATTTTCTCAAATCCCAGAGAGAGAACGGTAAAGACACATATTTATTTTATGGCACTGCAAACACCGAAGGTTCTTCATGGCCGATCCCAAGAGGGCTCTCTACCTGTGAGCCACCTGCAGAGTTGATCCTGCTGAGATGGATGATGAGCAGTTGGCAGCAGCCCCATCAGAGGCCTTAATCACGAGAGTTAACTTAATTACAACCACCTTGGAAAGTGCACTGTTCCATTACCAAAGCTGCAGCAGGAAAATACCATCTCAACAGGTTTCTGTCGGAGCTGCTCCACATGGCATTGGACAAGCGAAGATTCGCAGTGTGAGCGGGACCGGGGGAAGCTGTGCGTGGGCCTCCAGCCCACCCGATCAGCCAACTTTGGGAGCACGTCTCTGCTCAAAGGGCTGCTTTCCTCACTGAATTACTGAGTGATCATAAAATAAAGTGCCTAATCTAGTACTCACCCCCTCCCCACCGCCCTTGATTAGTAAGGGGACACATAGGATGTTTTAAGTATTAAATAAAAATTAAGCCTTGTCATTGAGGAATACAGGTTATTCAAGGAAACTGGAAAAATAGTTTCCACATCTTTGTGTTCATTTTTCTTTCTGCTAGCTGAAGAGTGGAAGAATATAATAAAATAGGAAGTGGCTTGCAGGAAAAATGCTTTAACAATTGATATATTCCCGTTTTCCCGATTAAACTGCTCTAAGTTGGCCTACTTTCCAGCATTTGTGGTATTTTGAAATTTGAACTCTTGACTTGCTGTTGAAAGAAACCAGCTCTGCTTGCCACCGCTTTCACCTTTAGATTTCCCTGGCACAGTTCAGGGCAGTTGACTCGGGAAGGTGGGGAACGCTCACACAAAGCGTTTAAAGCTACATCATCCCCATTCCTCCTTTTTTTCTTTTTAGAGTTTTTCAAAAGGCTTGCACTTCGCACCTGTACCGCGTAAACAAACATTTTAAGTCCTTTGGGGGATGGAAGCATACTCCCCCAGGCCAGACCGCTCCTTTCAGACCAACACCTGCTGCCCTGCGTAGGGAAGAACCGAAGATGCCGTGGGTGCCGCCTCACCCCCCCGAACCCGACCGCCGGGAGCTCCGCAGAGCCATCCCGACTGCCGTAACCCACCCCCAGCCGGGCCACACGGCGTGCCCCGTCCCCCCATCCCGCCTTTCCCGCC